CAGACTCTGCACTTTTGGGGTGATGGTTTACTATTTTAACTGAAGAATGCTGTATGATAATACCCTCACTTCAGGAGAGGAATAATGCCTGGTGGACACTTATTCTGGCAGGGTACTATTCTGCTATGTATAAAAACTACAGTATTTTACAAAAAAAAAAGAGCATTAGACCTAAAAGTGGTCCCTTTAGGAACTAGATCTCACACTGTTATACATATTCCTAAGCCAGAATCAAGGCACTGAGATAAAACGTTTATTTCTAGAATATAAGGAGAGTAATGAAGAAAAATGCTTATTTCTTTGTGAAAGTGATTCCAGGCAATCCAGGCTTAAACAACACTCTTGAAAGACTCCTTCAAGTATTGCCTGCTATCTTAGAGGAGGGGTTAGGAAATGGCTGCTGTTTGCTATCCTGGCCCTAACATCAAACAGTTTGGAAGTGACAGGAGAACAGCTATGGTTCCTGTCTCAATATCCTTAACAGAGGAAGCTCCTGTCAACCTAGCAGCTACAAGGGAGCATAGGGAAATAAAATAATTCAAAGAAATCAGTGGATAGGAAGTTGCCCTTTGTTCCAACAATTGCTCCTCATACTGAAGGGTTGCTGCTGGGAGGTCAGCGCAGAAACACCTGGTTGCTCCAACAGCAGGCAGCTAGGGTACATAACCCTGGTCCAAAATCAGCTTTGTATCTACAATATCCAACCTCCAGCTTAGGTTTCAATTTAGTTCATTTGCCCAAAATCTGCTTTATGGAGATACGAAGATAAGGATTGAATTAGATCTTTTCTCCTGAGCTGCAGCCCACCTGAAAACCAGAAGCACTGTTTAATGCATTCATTTCCTAGGCTAGTAAGGTCTGCAGAACAGACACCTCGTTCACAACACGGACTGCACAGGGCTGCCCAGTGGTTTCTGCAGTACACAAGTGATCTGAGTCCCTTACTGTGTCTGATAAGAGTGAGATGACTTCTTCTCTCACCATATTCTGCAATGTAGGAAACATGAGAAAGGTCCAATATTCTGACTATGTAGCTTCTCGGCTAACATCTTCAGAATTGTTAAAGGATTCTGCAATGTACTACTGGAGCTATGATCAGAGAAGGATGTTTAAGCTCATCAGAGCTCTGATAACCTACTAGAGAATGGTAAATAACCTACGCCACAAGAGAATGCTTCCAAGCCAAGCAGAAGTCTAGCAGCTCTGAGCTCTCTACAGCCTCCAACGGGACTGACTAGCAGAGAATGCAAAGGGATCTCAACAGAGATCAATCAATCACGGGATCTTAACAGGAACATTACAGGAGGCTCATGGGTTACCTGAGGGTGAGAAAGCCATGAGTTTCATGCTTTGTACAAGAAACAGAAGAGATGGGACTTACCTGATCAGAGTTTTCTTCTGTAATGCAGGTTGTTGCCCATAGGCACTCTTTGACTCCCCTGCTTCTCCTCCTTTGCTCTCCACTTGGGAAGAGCAAGTGGTTGCTCTTTAACTAGTGGGAACACTGAGGATGTGGACTCAGAGGGGTGTGGTAAGACCATGGTCATCTTGAAATCTCCTAATTGTAGCTGATGTGAATGAACTCTCTCCTGCTTTGTAGTCAGGCAAAAGATTAATACCAATTCTGGTTTTCAGAAAAAGCTGCATGAAATAGTTTGGGAGTCCATGGTGCAGCTGCTCTAAGAAAGCTGCATGATCTAGTGGGATTGGCAAAGGTACTCAGCGATACTGTGAAATTAACAGACTGAATGATGGTGACCTCAATGAAATCACTGCTGTGCTCTTTCAAATGCCTAGATGGGAGCTCCCTAACAGCTACTTTTCAGTACTGGAATCCATGGGTTTAGACCATATATACTGACAACCCAAAAGATACCTTCCTGAATTTTTCTGGTCGAGTTTGCAGTGGTCCAACTCTGTTTTCTTTAGTTGCTTCTGTCTGACAGAGGTGGCTTGAAGTCACTTTTCCTTTCTTGTGCTGGAACTCGCCAGGAGTTTCTGGCATCTGACGATTGGAGGGCCTCAGTATGAGGCCTGCAAGTAGTTCCAAGAGAATGGCATGGAGGTTACGGACTGTCAAACTTCCTTCCAGTTTGACAGACTGCAGAGCTGATGTTCCAGTTCAAAAAAGTAGAGATGACAGTGAGGTTCTCATTAATGCCGTAAATTCAGAGTCTTTGGCAGCATTCCACTCTTACAATCAAGCCGTGCTTAAGAGCGTCTTTCTTCATTCTATGGTTGCAGAACATGTGCTTAAGAGTGTCTTTCTTTCTTCATTCTATGGTTGCAGAACACGGGGGTAGGGAATTTGCATGGTATGAGCTGGCAGAAAGTGGGGTAGGGTCTACTTTCAGCTTGCATGAATCTTTTTCCCATTAGGCAAATATCAGCCCTCCTGTGCCTTGGCCACGTTGCATTGCTGTGTTCACAGTCTGTATTTGGGGGCTGCTCTCATTCCACCTCTTCTCTTATGGTTGTGCTGTGGTTTGCTTCTGGTGCCAGCAGAGTCCAGTCTTGTAGAGATGGAAACAGGCAGAAGGTTGATGGCTGTAGGATGCATTTTGTTCCTTGTTTTGCGTCTGGGCACTGTGGCCTCTTTCAGCAGATCTCTCCCTTCCTAGGTTCAGGCCCCTTCCTTGGACAGAAGAAAAAGAGTTTCCTGTGGTATACAACTCAGCAAGAACCAGGGAGCTAAACCTGGAGCTTGGGTATTTCCCACCTGGAGATTAGAGAGTTCTTTTTTTGAAAGAAGCTAGAAGGCCCAATTGGTCTTAATCAGAGAAGTTTATCATCCGCATGGGATATATTAACTTCATGAATTGAAATAAATCCAAAGCAGATGCTGTTTATCCCAGAGCCTTCTACCATCCAGTAGTGTCCATATGACTAAGCACTCTGAAATACTGTGCCCTGTTTGACTCCCGCTAGCTCAAGAGGGACGTGGAGAATTAAAGAGGGTCTAATGGAAGGTGACCAGCATGGTCAGAGCCCAACCCTGCTCAGTAATGGCTGACAATACACCAAGAGTCACACACTGTTGCCTGGGGCTTCAGGCTGGACATTATTTCTTCACTGTGAAGGTAGTGCAGACCTGATATATGTTACCCAAGGAGGCTGCGAGATCTTCAACCCTGGAGGTTTTCAACATTCAACCAGACAAAGCTACAGCTTCTATTAGTGGCACATCTGTTTCAAATGAAAGAATGGATTATAGAATGGAGGTCCAGAGATACATTCCAACCAACATTTCTGTGCATCTGTGACACAAGTTCTGCGAGTTTGCTAGTTCTCATATTCATTAAATGAAATGTTAATAACCAGGAAAATAATGTGTTTAGATTT